AAAGCCCCCGCTGCTAAGCTCGCAGTGGCCGGCTGTGCTGCTGCTTTCCCGGCTGTCAGCAGCCCGCAGCTCCTTTGTCACCACTCCCTCGGCGGGGGCGGGGGGGGGGGGCCCGGGCCCCGCCCCCGGGGGGGGGGGGCGGGTCTGCCCCGTCCCGGGCCTCCCTGCGCCGGGACGCCGCCGGAGGGGAGCTGGGGCCGGGGTCGTGTGCGCGTCCCCCTCCCCTGTAGCGTTTAACCGCGCTCGTTGCCCGGGGGCTGCCGGCGGGGAGCTGCGGGGCGCCGGGGCTCTGCTCCGTGAGCAGCTCCGGGGGGAGTTCGGGCCCGCTCTGGGCTCCCCGAAGCCGGGGAAAGCCGAACCTGGCAGGGCCCGGCGCGGGGAGAAGCGAGGAGGGAGCCACGGCCGGGGCACGGGGCCCTCGGGTCACTCGTGGGGGAAAATCTGAGCGTGGGGGCTGACTCACGGCCTCGCGCCCGCCTGGTGGCCCCGCCACGGCCGGCTCCCATCGCCAGGTGCCGGTGCCCGGCCGGGACCCTGCTCCTGCCCGCTCCTCGGCCGTGGGTGCAGCCGAGATGGCCCCTGCCAGCAGGACCTTGTGCTGAGTAGGGGCTGCTCCTGCCTGCTGGGGCTGCCCTCTTCATTTCTACTAAAAATACCGTTCCGCAAGAGAGCCTGTTGCCTGGCACGCTGCTGATGCCCAAACCAACGTGTCGGGCTCAAACACAAGAGCGTCTAATGCTGGCATGGTGGTGGACATCGTGCAGTATGTATGGAACTACGCTGGCAAAAAGCAAGTCCAGGGTGCAATGTATCACAAACGCAGGCCAATTCCTTCTTGCAAATTAATTTTGGGTAATTAACTGAACAGAAACTTCTCTCCGGTGTACTCAGAGGCTGTTACTCAGGCAGTCTGCCTTGCAGTCTCTCCTCCACATGAAGCACGCCATGGCTCTGGCCGAGGCACTCGGTGCCTGTTACAGAGCAAAGCTGTGGCTGGGTGGGCTGGGCCATGGTCTGGGTGGGATGTCAGGCTGGGTCCACGGGACATTTCCATGCCAGCACCGGGTGGGAGAGGAGCTGCCTCCTGGTGACGTCCTTGAATTTCCTGTGAAGGGTTTGCTGGGAGACCTGAGCTTATAGAAGGAGGAGTGGTGCCAGCCTTTGGCAGCTGTTAGCAGGAACGTCTCGCTGAGCACGGTTCTGTGCTGCCCTGCTCCTGGGCAAGTCAGAACAGCAGGCTAATTAGAGGGAAATGCAGGGTTCGTTAGGCTGGAAGTCCCTAGCGTGGCGCTGCGGGAGCAGGGCACGGCGGCTGGAAGGAGTCGCCTGTGCCATTGCAGCTGTCCTGGTGTGAAAATAAAAATAATCTTCCCAAACGGTACAACAGGACCCCGTGTATCTACAGCACAGGTTGTCTTTAAAGACCATGTGGTGAATTCTGCAGGTCTGAAGGGTGTTAACATAGGGATTAACCAGGTCTCGTGGCTGTGGGTCAGTTAGGAAAGGGTTTTCCTGGTGGCTCGGAAGAAATGCCTGACCCCCCCTACAGCAGAGACCCGGCCTTGCTGACCTGATTTATTGTCACCGCATCCCTTTGCGGTGCGGACGGCTCAGGCCCCAGCTGGTGACAACGCACTACATGGCATTTTCCTTAGCAAAGGAGGAGAGCGAGTGCCTTGCCTGAGCTCCAGACCACACATGCCCCTGGCAGTGGCACTGACCCGACAGTGGCGGCGGGGTTGTCACCGTAGTGCTGGTTGCCTTTCAGTGTAGGGCAGCTGCTTGTCTGCCTCGGATGGTCCTTTGACCTAAATGCCATATAGTCATATAGATTGAAGTGGGAAGGCAGGACAGCTTTGGTAGAGAAACAAAGAGGGACTGGAGCTGCTTAGCTCACGGGAGACTTAAACTTGGGTTGTGGTAATGCAATAAAAATGCCCCCAGTGGAGTTTCTTCCATTTCTCATGTGCTTGTTTAATGGAAATGAAAGTGATCTTAAAGTGACAAAAGGAAACACGGTTCTGTAGTTCCCCGGCTGACTGCTGCAAGAGACTGAGATCGAGTGTTTGTGGGCAGGAGGTGAGGAGGGGCTGGATAAACACGCCTGTGTAGAGGGGATGCTACAGGGCTGTCCCTGAGATCTCCTCTGGTTTTGGGCCAGCTGAGCGTTGCTCCAGAGCTGACCAAGCCTTTATCCTCTCACCAGGACTTTCTAATGCCTCAAGAATATCAAGAAGCGAGAGGTTGCCTGTATGTCTGAGCATCATGCCTACCGTGGGGTGCCCCTTTCCCCTGTTCTGGAGCCGTGCGCATTGACTCCCAGGCTGAAAAGTGGGTGGACAATTTTAGTAAGAGCAGCCAATTTCCATCATCAAGCACTTTTTGAAAAAGAACACTTCTCCATTGCTACCCCTCGAAGATATGCTCTGTGTTTGTGCTCAAATGCCTTGACTTTGGGATTGGCATAACGTTCCTGCTCCAGAGCGTGCGGGCAGGGGGACACCAAAATGTGGACCAGGCTGCTGCTGCTGGGCAGCTCGTCCTTCTTAACCCCTGTGTGATTATTCTGCATCTCTAGATGTTGTTGGTTTTGTCTTTAACTTCAAGTAACAGGGTATAAAACGCAGCGTTTGTGGCTGGGTGGTGATGCGGGAGGGCTGCCACGCTTGCTGCAATTGGAAAATCTTGGCGGGGGGGAGGGAGAAAAAGAGAAGTCAGCTGGGTGAGCCCTGATTCCTGGCAGATGGGCTGCAGGTTGCGCATTCCCTGGGCACCGGCAGAGAGGCTGCCTGTCCCTGCCTGCCTGCTGCTGGGAGCCTGGAGCTGGCCTCCCCAGAAAGCTGCTGCTCTTGGGTGGTGGCAGGAGCTTCCCCAAGCAGAGGGGTTTTAGCAAGCCCAGTGCTTTCTGCTGGGTGTTTGCACCATTGGGGGGTGCGGCGACACTTTAACCTTGCGCTGCTTCTCTGCAGAGAGGACGCATGGGACAAGGTGCCCGGAGAAAGGCAGGTGGGCCAGGACAATAACGGCATCTCCTGGCCTCGTGCAGGTGAGGGGCAAGGAGCAGCTGTGCCCTGGAGTGGCAGCAGGAGGCTGGAAGCAAAATTGTAGCTGACTGGTGATGCCACGGGGAGAGTCCAGATGCTTTCTCCCCCCTTACAGGCCTGGAGGTGAGGAGCCTTGTTCTCTCTTGGTGTGGTGTGTTTTGAGGATCATGGCTGTGTTGGTTTGAAACCCATCGCAGCTGTGGTGGTGTGTCAGAGGAGGGGGATTTCAAGAGCCCTGCAGCTCATCTGCCCCATACGCTGCCACAGCCAGGGCTTCTCCTGGCAGTGAGCTACCCGGTGACAGCCTGGCAGCCTGGAGTCGTCCTTCCCACCCGACCAGGTACCAGGGGCTCCTCAGCAAAGCACACTGGGGCCAAGAGGGCCCTGAGTGCTGGAAATCCTCTTCCTCCCCTCCCGCTGCATCTGCAATACTGCTGTGGGCTCCTGATGCAGTCTGCGCCACACTTTATCTCATTGATAACAGAAAGCCGTGTGCTTCCAGTTTGTTAGCAAGCAGCAGGACGGTGATAAGGGGCAGTGTAATGGGGGGTGTCTTCACGCCAGGCGGTGGTTGCTGGGGGTGGGTGATGTCCTGCAGGGAGCGGCCTTGCTGGCTCGTCCCTGTGGAAATCTGCTGTGGAACAGAGTCAAACACTCCCTATTTACGGTTCTTCAGAGTGATGTTTGGGAGGCACGGCCAGGTCGCTGGGCACGCAGCCTGGGTTCGTTCTGTGGCGTTTTAGTCTCGACTGAAGTCGTTCTGCTATTAGAAACAGGGACTGCTCTTTGACTGCTCTGCTTGGAGGTAAAACACTGCTGTGGTATCACATATATCAGTGTGGCTTCTTGTCACCTTTGCCAAACCAGGACACTGGCAGCAGTGCTGCTGTCCCCACCCTGACCCGTGATGGTCCAGGCTGGTGCTGGGGTCTGCATTCAGCTGCTGCTGCCTGACCTCAGAGATGGTCCTTTTGGGGCCTGAGTAGAAGGTGGTGGTTGAGACCTTCTGCCAGATTTTTTTTCTTGTTGAGATTGATCCTGAGTTTGCTCTTGCCCATCTCAGGCACTGCTGGAATGGGTGGCAGCGTGTTGAAGGGGAGGTCTCTAGCCCAGCCCCTGCTAAGAGCAGCAGATCTGTTAGACCAGGTCGCTCAGGGCCTGCCCCCAGCTTCAGTGTGTCACCACCCTCGGAGTGAACATTTGTCTCGGATATCTAAGCAGAAGTTTCCTTGCTGCAGCCTCCCCACTGCTTCTTGTCCTATCGATGCGAAGCTTCAAGGAAAGTCTGGCTCCGTCTTTTCTGTAACCTCTTGTTAGGTGACCCGAGATGGCAAGATCTCCCTGAGGAGCCCCAGCTTCTCCTCATACGTCTTACCACATGCTCCAGCCCCTGGCTGTCTTGCTGGACTCACTCCAGTGTCTCAGTGCCTTTCTGGGCCTGGGGAGCCCAAACTGGGTGCCGAGTCCCAGGCGTGCTCTGGCAGGTGCCAAGCAGAGGAGTGGGATCCCTTCCCCAGACCTCCTGGCTGTGGTCTTGCACCACCCAGGAGCTGGTCGACCACCTCTGCTGCAGCTGTGTGCTGCTGACTCCTCTTCAACTCATCTACTAGCTTGCTGCAAGACTTTTTCAGCAAAGCTGCTTTCTAACCACCGGGGCATGTCCCTCCCAGGTGCAGGGCTTTGTATTTGCGTCTGTTGAACTTCAGGGGCTCCCCTGCAGCCTGGTGAGGTCCCTCTGAAGAGCAGCCCTGCCTGCCAGTGTACCAACTGCCCGGCTAACAGAGGTGTTAAGCAGTATTGGTCCATATCAAGGCTCCAGGCATCTCTTTGCAGCGCTCAAAATGGGTAAGGAATTAGCATTACCCCCTGAAATGGGGTGAGTGCTGATGGCTGAGTGCCACCACTGTTTGTGTGCCACTCTCAGAGCCAGGCTCAGCTGGCCTGAGAGCTTCTCCTGGGACAGGAGAGCTGTTAAGCCCTGTGTGTCCTCTGGGTTTTGGCAACAGTGCGTGTTTTTATGTGGAGATAATCGTACTGCAGTCACACCAACATCATGTGTGCCCAGGATCAGCAGCTGTCTTGGCCTGAGTTTGAAAAACATCCAAAGGAAGGTAGTGCCATCCATGTGCTCTGTGAATCTTTGAGCCGTGCACAGTCTTCTGTCTTAACTTCTGGCTGCCTGAATCCCCCCTGGCCCTCTTATAAAAGTCAGGTGCTGATGGAAGTAGCTTTTTCCTATCCTCCCAGCGTGTGATCACCGTGCCAGGCGAGATGGGAGCCAGCCCTCTGCTCACGGAGTGACTTGGCCCATCTGGATGCTGGAAGGATGCCAGGACTTGGGGCGGGGGGG